CAAAACAGCAAGGTCACAGGAAATGGCCAAGAGGCAATCAATAAAGTAAGAAGGTTAAAACGCTGTGGGCAGCAAAAACTGGGAAAAAAACGTCTAAGGCAAAAAGATGGGAGGGAAATGTGTAAACAGGGAGCCGGTGTTACCACGGTAGAGTTAGGTTCACCGTATGCTCCAATTTTTTTACATAGGTAGGGTTTAAGCCGCCGCATATAGGCTGTATGAATTCGTTTTTGTATCTTCTCTTACGTTATTCACGTTACGCAACGAGAGGAAGCAACTGATGAGCACTCACGAAATTAATGGATTCAGTACATTTTGCTGTTTACAAAATCTTCAAAATAAATATTTGCGTAAAAGACGTCTTTGTCTTTCAGGAAGTGATGCAGCAGCATTAGCAAAAGAGCCCCGAAAGGAACGTCGGAGCACCGCTCTAACTGTGTTCTAATTAATTTAGTCAGGGCAAAATTACTAATAATCTTGGTTTCATCACACTTCGCGTAAACTTTACAAAGTATGACTATTCTCAGTTTTACGCTGAAATCATTCGGCCTATTAGTTTCAGGTTAGTCACGAATGCCATTTGGCCAAGTGCTACCATTAAACCACGGACCTGTATCATTACTGGCCGCTATACCGCAGTCTTTGAGGCCTCTAGGTTGAGGAGAAATATGCCATGGGACAGATACGCCTCATAAACTGAATTATGAACCCCCCTCCTACGATAGACATGCATGAAGCGGAACCGGCAAAGAGAAGGGAGACCGAAATGGCCACTTCTGGCGTATTAGCAGTCATTAGCCAGCCATACCCAATCTCAGAGGTGGTGACCCCTGAAATTTGAATCCGCGACCTTTGGCCATTGAGTGCCAAACTTTGACATTGCACCACAGGTCCGTTGATTTGTCAGTTGCCATCGGGAATATCAGGGTACTACGGCGATAACCGATCTGCTTACGAAGCATGCTCGTCCAGTTTTGCCTTGGAACTTAATCTAGAGCCCTCGCAGACAGTCGCATAGCGATTTGTAATATACGAGGAAGTGGAACCAGCGGCTGTTAAGCCAGGAATGGCCATTCATGTCTCCCTTGTCTTTGTCGCCTGCATTTCATCATATATTACAAGTCGCTATTCGA